TTTTTTTTTTTTTTTTTTTTTTTTTTTTTTTTTTTTTTTTTTTTTTAGACAGGGTTTTTCTGTGTAGCCCTGGCTGTCCTGGAACTCATTCTGTAGACCAGGCTGACCTCAAACTCACGGAGATCCACCCACCTCTGCCTCCCAAGTGCTGGATCACCCCTGTCTGGCCCAAGATTTTACTTTTAATATCTAAAAGGGTTTTTTTTTTGCCTAAATGTGAAAGAATTGGGGATTTTAAAATCATTCATGTACTAATAATCATGATCATAATTTAACCCAGAACAGGTGTTTTTGTTTTTACACAGGATCTCATGAAACCCAGGCTGGTTTCGAACTCCCTGTGCAGCAGGTTCTTCCGCCTCTGCTTCTCACATCCTGGTGTTCCAGGCATGAGCACCATGCCCAGTTCAAAAGGAAAAGAGTAAGCAGCCAAAATAAATGCTAACTTAAGTTTATAGATACAGACTGGAAAGATGGCTCAGCAGTTACAACCATTGCTGCTCTTCCAGAGGACACAAGTTCCCAGCACCCATGTCAGGTGGCTCACATCTTCTGTAACCCAAACTCCAGGGTATCTAACACCTCGGGTTTACACATATCCAGACACATAATTTAAAACACAGTAAACACAAATTTCAAAAAGTTATATTTTAGGTCAGGTGTGGTAGCAGACACTAAGTAAACCCAGCACTTAGGGAAACTGAGGCAGGAGGATCAGAAGTACAAATCCGCTGCATAGCACTTCTAAGGCCAATGTGGGCTACAGGACACTTATCTCAAAGAAAAAAAAAAACACAGACAAAACCCAGAAATAAACAGCAAATTATATCAGTGGAACTGTGTTTGGTAGAGTTTTTAAAGCACTGAGTTCAATTTTTAATAAAATAATAATTATTATTATATGTAACAATAATAATAAAAGAAAAAAAGGTCATGAATTGGAGAGTACAGGGAACATGGAGGGGATGGTGGGAAGAAATGAAGGGGAGAAAGATGTAATTATATTTTAATCAAATAAAAAATTTAAGCGCGCACACACCACACACACACACACACACACACACACACACACACACATAAAGTATGACAGAGCCATCAGTTAAGACTATCAGTATAGAACACTACATTTGATAAAATTCTGAAAGAATGTTCAAGAGAAAACTCACGCAAATTTTAAGGCGGAAAGGGTCATTTTATTTTAGAATATTTGCAGTATGTGAGACTATGTCCCTTGCAACTCTGAATGTAGGAAGGTCTGGAGGGATGACTCAGAGGTTGTGAGCACTTGTTGCTCTTACAGAAGACCCAGCCTGGATTTCCAAGACCCACGTGGCAACTCACAGTCCTCCCTAACTCCAGTTCTGGGGAGCCTGATGCCCTCTTCTGGCCTCCTCGGGCACCAGACACACAACATTCAGGCAACACACACGCATACATAATTTTCCAATTAAATACTTAATTAAAATTAATTATTAAAATTAAGTATTTATTTAAAAATGTGGAAGGGGCTGGCACGATGCCACAAACTGGTCATTTCAGCACTTGTCCATGCTTTGTAACCAAACGGATCGAAGCGGAAGGTGTGCAGCCGACAGAATGTCCGTTCCCTCCGGAGAGCGACGCGGGATCCTCGGGAAACTAAGGGTGAACCCCTCAATTCTGGGTTTCAGAGTAGCACTGGGGTGACCTCTAGAGAGCACGTTCCGGAGCGGGTACACCCGCAGGGCACTCCAGCCGAAGAGGGGCGTGGTTACGGCCGGCACGGCTGAGTCAGCGCTCCGCAATTGCTCAGAGGCAGGAGGGCGGGGCGTCGGAGGGGCGGGGCTATCCCGAGGAGACCGGTCATTGGCTGTTGGGGAGGGGCGCGTCGGCGAGGCGGGGCAGGGCCAGCCTCAGCCCTCCGGGCATTGGCTAGTGGGGCTGCCAGGGACACGTGGTGCGGAACCGGCGCGGTAAGCGGACGCTCGCCCTGTGGGCCCTCCTTCCCCGGAGGGCGCTGCGGGCCGGGGTCGGGCTGGGCACAGGACAGGGCGGTGTGGGAGTCACCCTGTTATGGGATCAAGTGCGGGACCCGGGGCATCCACGTGAGAGCGGCGGAGGCCGGGAGGTCCTGGATCCCTAATGCACAGTCAGCCCAGGCCTGATCACCCCAGGCCCCGGCGCGGGCCCGCGTTCTGGAAGAACTTAGCCCGGGACCCAGGCCTCCCAGCCGCAAGAGCCGGTTCTGATCGGCCGATCCCCATAAATACCAGCTCCCCCGGGCCACCCCCAATTCTCCCTGCAGGGCCGATGGACTGTGCGCCCAGGCTAGCCTGCGTGGCGACTTGGGGCTGAAGGGTCGCAGGGAGCAAAGGCTAGGCCGTCCTCACGCCTACACATTGAGGACTCTGCCTGGCTCCAGACAGCGCCTTGGGTGCAAAGGCCCTGGGCAGTGTCCTGCTGGACCTTGTCCCTAGGATGGATCCACAGGAGAGAGGTCTCCTCTTGCCAACTTGCTGGTGCGAGCATGCTGCTCATTCATTCACCAGTTTCCGTTTACTCATTTGTAGAGGAGAGTAGATGTTTGATCCGCTGTACTAACCCTTGAGAATCTGCGGCCACTGAGTTCTCCATAGAGTCCGTAGTAAGGCAAAGCCCCTGTCATGGCACCCTGATTGTACTGCTTCTGGAAAGCTTACGACTTAACAGGTCGTGAAACTGTTGTCATATTTGACAGGAAGTTTGCTTGTTCAACACTGCTTTTTCCCTTACTAAATGGTTTCCATTGATGACCTCGATGTTGGAGGAGATGAAGCAGGAGTCACCAGAACTTAGTGGGAAGGAGAGGGGAACCTGCCTTTACTTGCTGTGTCTGAGCAGACAGTATAAAGAAACGGTTGGCTTTCATCTGCCCTGGGAACTCTGCTCAATGTTACTGTTACCGCCCTTAGTGAATGATGTACCACAGATAGTTACATCTTTGCATAACAGCGTTAGCAACAAAATTGTTAACTGTGAGCATGTGATGCTGGGCCATGGTGTTTGGTTTTTATGTAAGGACCAGAAGCCCCAGTGAAAAGTACCCAGTGTAGCAGATGGTTCTGCAGGGTAAGGCTTCATCGGGTAAACAGGTACCTTCCCTGGGCGAAGCTGGTGACAGGTGGGTGGAACTTAACACTTATAAACACCTAGGTAATAATATCTGTAGAGTCTCCCAGAGGCCCTTGCAGGTGAGGTGTGTGGGGTGGTCATGGGTCTAGAAATGTTTCCTCGTCTGTGCTAAGTTTTACAAAGGAGGGGGAAGATCGTGAGGACACTGAGGACTTTAGCAGTTCAATGTCCCGCCCTTGCAGCAAATCCCGTTTACCATTGGAAGTGCCCTGAGATTTCACATTGCTCCGTGTGCTGCATAGCCGTGTGACCGTTGCTGTGGCACCCGCTTGTGACCGTGTAGCAGCAGTGATGCCAGGGTCACTTGGTGTCCCTGCAGGACAAATTTTCTCAGCACAACTGAGCTCTGTTTCACCTATGCTTACTCAAGTCCGAGTCTTGCTACTTAAAGAGAGAAAACACCCGTTGCAAATCTCAGTGCCTGGGTGAGATTTCTGCTTCACATTGATTCTCCATTTTAAAAGCAGTCCCACAAATTACTTTCTGGGGTCTCAGGCATGAAAAGTAAGTGTTGGAACATGTGCAGAGGGCTGGTAGAGTGTTTGCCAAGCTTCCGTGAAGCTCTGGGTTCCATGCCCAGTAC